ATAGATAGATATATAGTATAGATAAATATATAGATGATAATAGATAAATATATAGATTTAAGAAAAATTACATTATATTATTATATTTCCAGGAAGCCGATATTGCATTTATTCCGATATTCGTTATGCATGATCGCTATGATATAATAGATTATACAACTCATGTCATGTTTCATAAAGTAAAATTTGTGGTTAAAGCACCAAAATTGTTACCTAATTGGAGTTCACTTATCAAACCATTTTCTTTACAAGTGAGACTCATTTTTCTTCTGTATTATATAGAGTTTTTATATCATAATCGTAATTTTATTCTTAAAATTAATTATAATATGTAAATTACGCGTAATATTTAAAAGTGTTATGTAATTACAAGTCGACCTCCCTGTAATACTGTTGATAATTCCGTTTTATATGAATTCCATGTTATACGAGTCACTTAGATTTTACAAATATGTGTGCCGGGCTGTGAACTGCTCACGCATTTGTAAAATATAAGTGACTCGTACAACATGGAATTCATATAAAACGGAATTATCAACAGTGTTATAGGGGGGTCGACTGTACTTTCTCGTTTATTTTAGCACTGACTTAAAATCTGGAAAATTTCAATATATTTTTACCCTATTTTAATAATGAACGAATATTAATTAAAATGAATATAAATAACATTGAATTTAACACTTTTAAGTTAATAATAAATATAAATCATTTTAATAATAAATGAATTTATTTTTATATTGATGCATAATTAATATTGTAGAATCAATTTAACTAAGTTGAAATGATTAAATTTTTAATTTATTTCAGATATGGATGATTATATTTGTTACTGTATTAGTTTTTGGAATGATATTGTTTAAAGTTATAGAAAGGGATTTTTATTTTGATGAAAAAGTTTCATTGTGGCCATTATCTAAAGTGTTCTGGTTCTTATTTGGATCCTTTACTTTTCAAGGTAAATTGTATTTTATTGGTATTGTTTTCATCATTTCTTAAATATTAATTCTTAAAGTTTTATTTTAGGTCCAAACACGAGTTCTTTAAACAGATTTCCTTCACGTTTATTAATCACAGTTTGGTGGTTTTCCATTTTAATTTTAGTTTCCTGTTATACGGGACTATTAATGTCTTTCTTAACCTATCCTCTTACTGAAGATGTGCCTTCAACATTTCAAGAATTAGCACTTGCCATGCAGGAGGGAAAATATTCGTGTATATTTCTTCCTGGTAGTGATGTACCCAGATTTTTAATGGTAAATAAAGATCATCTTATTATATATCTAGATATTCAAAGAAAATGTTAACTAAAGTTCTGAGTTCTTTATTTAGATACTAGCATTTTTTTATATAGGCAACTAATATTATTCTTATACTGTTTTTTGCAGGGATCAAAATCGGGTAATGGTAAAATATTAGCAAATTATATTAAGAAAAATTTAACTTTAGTAAATGAAAATGATGTATTGCGTACTGTTTTAAATAGCCGTGTAGCTTTTCTCAATACAGTTTATATGATCAAAGAAATGATAAAACAGTATGGATCTGGGAAATACGTTATTTCTGAAGATTCCATTGTAACATTTACAGTAGCTTATGCATTAAGAAAAGGATTTCCTTACAGAAATGAAATTAATAAAATGTGAGTTTCTAGTTTTTAATTTATTATCTTAAAAAATTGATTATTAATCCATTTATTGATAATATTTTTTTCAGAATAATACGTTTATTTGAGGCAGGATTATCAGATAGAGACGAAGTGTTATTAAACGTTGTTACCAAAGGTGCTACTTCTGAATTTCAACCGTTAATAGTGGAAGATATCTTGAGTCCTCTAGCACTTTTGATTCTAGGATACATTTTATCTATTTTTTGCTTTATTCTAGAAATGATAATATTTAAGTTTGGACATTGTTTAAACCGATATTTTGAACACTTCTCTTCTGACTTCTTATGCCACAAAAACCATAAAATAACGAGCTTATGAAATATTATAATGTGACAATAATAGTAATATTAAATGACAAATTTACATATGCATAAATATAGTTAAAGAAAAATAACAGGCTAAATGTCATATGTATCAAAAATTTATAGAATAATAGCATTTTTTTTTTTTTTTTTACTATTTTGTCTTATGAGCATTAGAAAAGAGCATTAAATCTTTTCTCCAAACCCATTGTAGGTTTCAGCCCCAGAGTGGTAGGTTGAATCTTTAATCGTTTCGACCATTTAGACATTCGAATAACAGAAATTTCAGATTTTTTTCGATGTATTTTTGAAATATTATTGTTTCTTTCCTCTAAAAAGTTTTCCCAACATAGGCTTTTTGAGGTAATATTGAAGTTTAATAATTTGTATCTTGAATGAAAAGTAATTTTTCTATTTGATGCAGTTAACTATCTTCATGTAAAATCTATTAGATTTTAAAGCTTTATACAGACCTATATGTATAGGCATACAGTATGTTGTATTTGTGTTTTAATTCGTTATGTCACTACGAAACACTAGCCTACTGTCGGTTTTGCGGCTTGTTTCATATATGCTTATTTATGAGCGAATCTTAACAGCAACGAGGATAGCCAAATTGAAACGGCTAGAAAATAAAATTTTGATGTATTCTATTCGTAAAATATCACGAATCCTGTTGAATTTGAATCCGAATTTATCAAGGATTACATCTTACCTTATCACCAGGGATGTAGTCAGAAATTTTCGAGTGGGAGTCACTTGCATAGCTGATGGCTTTGACAAAAACTCTGCATGGGTAGATAGGCTATTATAAAAATGCAATAGCCCGTTATCACTACACTATTTACTTTTAAACTTATATGGGAACAGCAATGGTGGCTACAGAGAGTGAATTGGGAAATGAGTTAGCGTGGGAAATGTCACCCCTTGCTGCCCCATGTGGCTACATCCCTGCATATGGCCGTACGATATGAATTTTATATTTTCAAAATATATTATCGTATATTTTGAATTTTATTTTATAATAATATTTTAAAACTATATGTATATTAACCCGTTCTTCTTTCTTGATTAAAAGTAAATAAAAGTATATAAAACAGATTAATTCTCTTTTGTAATAATGCCACATAAATGTTTTTAAAGCAAATGTTTCTATTTCATAAAACATGCATTAATGCAAGCAACTATGAGAGATCATGATGAATTTTTTCCTAATTGTTAAATCATCATTTTAAAAAAGAGAATTTGCTATATTTAGGTCGTATGCAGCCTTTTATGCCTTCTACTGCGGCTTGGTAAAATATAAAATAATTTAATAGATTTAATATAATATAATGGCATCTTAAATCTCAGATCTTCACATCTGGAATATTACACGGGGAAAAAACAAATACTGTATATCTATGTAAATCGATTCTGATAAAGATTTCTTATGCAATTCGTCAATATTTTCATTTACTAATATTAAATATTAAAAAAAAAATAAAAAAGAATAAATTTTAACATATACTTATTACATTCTATATATTCTTTCTATAAATATTACTTTTCTATTCGTGCTTTACTGGAAACTAAAAGTAGTCAAAAAATTTAATTAGTTGATTTAATTTTCAAGAGATGGCGCCACGATGATAAGAAGTCTACTAAATAAGTAATTTTTAGTCATTTGTTTTCTTTCATTTTCGTTCTTTTTTTCTTTTAATAATTGAATTATTTTAGTTAATTTTATTTTAGAATTAATGAATTAATATATTTTACAAAAATAATTTCTAATTCTTGTAATAAAAATATAGAAATTGTTAATTTTTATATCACCTAACTGACATACCGTATACAGTATATAATTTAAAAAATCCAGCAACGAGTTATTAACTTTCTTAGCAACATTTAAAACTGCGTATGTGGCGCCATCTGTTATGATATTTTATTATTAAAAACTTTTTATATTTTTAATTACAGTATTATAAAATGGCAATAAAACTTAATTTTGGAGTAGTGGTGGGTTTTATAAAAAAAAAAAAAATCTAAATGCTAATAACGAGGAATATCGTTATTAAGTCAGATCCTACTCAATATATGACACACGACTACCTTTATTTCCCCACCCCGTCGATCTTTAACTACCAAAATTTAACAGCATCAATCGTTCTAATAAACAAACGTCCCTGCAAAATTTCAGAAATTTTTGACAAAAAGCACAGGAGTTATTAAGCTTCAAAGTGGGTGAACAAAATCGTATCTCCACACACATCAACATCCATACATAAAGAAAAGACCCCCGATTTTTTTTGCATTTCTCGACGTTTCAAAGTTTCCTGAGTCTAGAAATGTAAAAATATTGGGGGAAGGTTATTTTTTGACAGATCGCCATACTTTCCCTCTGTTATATATAACAGCCGGAAAAGTAATATGTGTGTGAAAGTTTCTTTTGACATCTACTTCGATGTACTGTACATCTACCATTTAAATGTACAGTACAGTACATTTAAATGGTATAAATTTTAATACAATAGAACTGAGAAATGAAATTCCGTTCATTATATTACAGTTTACTCATATTTCCAAGTATTGACCCAGAGGAATGACACACATTTAAATTTTAATAGTTTATCAAATATAAATTAATAGGATAAATATAAGTTTAAATATACAGTATATTTGTCTTGATGTCTTCTGTCATATCTCGATGTATGTATACTGTATATGGCCATTTTTTCATTTTTTGCTCTTTCCATTATGCACTAACATAGTAACATTGTAACATAGTAACATTGTAAGAGGGCCTTTTTCCATACTCATTGTTTGTTCGGCCAACCCATGATAGGAAGGAAAATTGGCGAGAAACATTGGCCTTATTTGGTCTTTTAACTTTTTTATATTTGAAAACATTGATGAAACTTTGGAAATTTTGAAATAACTTTCCTTGAAAGCATCTGTCTTGAAAGGCTATTCTCAAAGTGATATCTCTTGCTGTAATGTCTTGTTGAGGATGATCTTCTGAAAGATCTTAATAATTTTGGTTTGTATGTTCAAGAATATGCAGACACTATTGTTATTCTTTGTATTGCAAGTATCTTGGGTTAATTCTTAACTCTATCTTCTTATGGATTTTGCACGTTGAGAACGTGCTAGGTAAAGCCAGGTGTATTTTTTTTCGTCCTATTATAAACTTTTACTATGTGGTTCGACCCAAAATTACCTGTGCTAGTTTTATTTGATGGCCTAGAATGCTTTGCGAAGATTGTCATTTAAAGTTGAAAAGTTTGTAGCATACTGCCTTCATTGTTATTACGGAAGACCCCGGATAGTTTTTCCTGTCTCGTTCCTCTCTTCATCTATTTATTTAGATGGAAAGGATCATTATAGAGTCAAATTTATTGGTAAGTTTATTTTCACACATGCTCTTTTGATCATTTGTCTTTTCTGGGAATTTTGAAAAAAGTCATCCTTTTGATAAATCCTGACAAAACGTTACTTCAGTATAAGTTTGACAACTAACTTGATCTCCTTTCTCAGTTCCATTGATTGGCATATGAATAGGCTGTCCTTTTCGTCCATAAAGTAATTTACATTCCTAACTTTGATCTATTTCGAAATATTTCTCCTAAATTTGTCTCTATTTTTTCTTTCTTGCTTACTGCTGATATAACCAAAAGTGGAGAATGAAAATTCAGTTGATAGAATCATTTTTGCATTCACAGAAACATTTTCCATCAGTCTGTTTCCGCATGTGAGTACAAAATATTTTGTACTCACATGCGGAAACAGACGAAAGAAATCGAAACGGAAACTGTAAGCTAAAAATTGTTCTCCGTCTTCTTTGCGCATCGAATGTGCCCACATAATGAAACCGGAATACAGAAATGTACAGTACAATACAGTACTTGTCAACCATCTCTCCGATAAAAATGATGGAGAAATTTTCTGTATATCAACTGAATTTTCATTCTCACTTTACTCTTCAAGAATAAATCATGATCCGATATCAAAGCAGAAAAATAAAGACTAAGACTAATAGCCTCCCATTGTACTGTACTACAGTATTGTATTACAATCAACTCCAGAGGATTTTCCACAAACAACTATAAATTGGATATCATGAGGGCTTGAAAAATTTTAAAAGCATCTGCTTGAGGCTTTGAAGTCTAGGCAGGTAATTTAAATTTAAATTGTAAAGCTTTGGCTTGTATGATCTACCTTGATATAGGAACATTCTGACTTCCGACTCTGAGAAACAATTCTATGACCGCTATGTCAACGAGAGCGCTATTCCCACCTTACAATTGTCGGATTTGCTTCTTGTCGTCATTATGATTGAATAGCTTTTCTTGTTTTTTGACAATTTATGCATATTTCATCTTCCCAAACTTCAATACTTCTGCTAATTTTCTCATTTTGCATTTCTCTCGTTTGTGATATTCAGTAATTCCATTTCACTCATATTACCAGTTATTTACGTGGAGCCATACGAACAATCGCAGATTCTCTTTTCAACACAGAAAAAACACGTACTCTGTGTTCACCCTAGATTATAGAAAAGACTATCTACTTCGATGCGTCAACTTCTTATTTTGATTTTTTAAATCGATTTGATTACAACTTCATGAACTCCAAACAAGGAAATGAATGGACTAGTTAAATTCAAAAGTGTCCGTTTTCCAGATTACTTTTCTTGTCTTTCGGTATCGAAGAACATGTACAGTACCTGTACAGGTATATAAATAATAGATTAAATATATATAATCATTTGCATAAATACAATAAACATCCATTGAAAGTATATGTTAATTTGAGTAAAAATTAAAAAATTGTTTTGAATTGTCAGCGGTATTTGTAATGACGGAAAAAGGAAAATAAAGACAATAAAAGGACATAACTTTAAGTAATAAAGTTGGCATGCTTTTGTATAATGATATACTGATAGAAGTTAATGCTTTGTACTGTACTGTACTATGCGTACTTTCTATTAAATACCTGCAGCCCTATTAAACAGCATTTATCCCTGCAGAAAATTTGTAAGACAAATATTTGAGAAATCCCATGAGTCCATATATAATATGCGTACAAGTCTAAAAAACAAAGTCCACACAGCTAGTAATTGT